AAAATGTCAAATACAGTTTTCTAAGGTAGTCTCAAAGCTCTCATTACTTTAGCTTTCTTTAGAATGTCAACCAAAGCAGTCATATTTCTCAGTTTGGTTTGTGGCTATTAGCCAAAATAACTCCAGGCAACTTCTTTGGAATATAGAATCAAAATTCTCATTAAAAGTACAAAGTTTCAGCCATGTGTGGTTGTGTATGTCTGTAATCCGAGCACTCAGGATGCTAAGTGAGGAAGATCTTGAGTTCAAGGCCAGATTGAGCTATATGGAGAAACCCTGTCTTAGCAAAAAAACAAAACAAACAAACAAAAACCTGACAAAGTACAAAGTTTAGGTCTAGCATAGATAGCTGGAGTATCTATTTCTATTTTAAATCACCTTAAAGACAGATATATAATGGGCTGTGGAGTTCATTAAAAAAAAAATCTTGTATTTTTTTATGGAGACCCTGAGATTGCTGCAGACTCTGAAGGCAAGGATCTCTGGTGTTTTCCTGTTGAGCCTTATTCTTTTATCTTCTCACCCTCTTTCTGCAACTTAGACACTGGCATCCCACAGTGAATTTGATGGTACACCAAGTAAATTAAATACACCTTCAAGTCTTTTTTGTTTCAGTTCTTTGCTTGTCAGTTTAACAGATGTAAGAATTTGAGATGTAAATTTTTAACAAATTTCAGAATAGAAAAGGGCTAATAAAATTCTCGTGTTTTCATTACATTATTATTTGACACAATAACTACTGTGCTTCCTAGGTATGTTTAAATGCACATATCCACACAATACTTGTTTCCTCTTGCATGAAATGGTCAAAGTAAATAAAGCAAGGCAGTTCCCGAAAAAAATTAAATTGTTACGTAATTTGCCATTTGAATTTTAATGGCAAGTAATTACCATTCATTCATTTATACTATATTGAGAATCCTGAATTTCAAATTTGTTTCATTAACATGTACAAGATATTAAACTCATAGTCCTATCTTGAAATTGCTCGTTTTGGCTTTGATTGGCAACAAAAAAAGCTTTAATCTTTAACTTAAAAATGAGAAATCCACTACATATATATCACAAGTTCGGACAATTGTATGACTTTAAGGCAATAATTCCTGGAGTTAAAAATAATATTTAAAAATTCTTACTAAAAGACATCTGTCGTTCAGAGGAACCGGTTTTGATCCCCGGCAACCAATAAGAAAAAAAAATTCGTAACAAATGGCTAGAGTCAGGAATCTGCCTACTCCACTGCTCTTTGAAGAAATATTTCATTTTGTTTGCAAGAAAGGAAGGCCAATTCAGTTTTCATAGGCAGAAGTAAATTTTAGAAAAAATAGTTAATCTAGCTTTAGATGTGTGACCTTTCTACCAATTTTATAAGAATTTTCTGTGTTTCAGTAAAAGGATTCTCTCCTGTATTGATTCTATCTTGGAAGGAAAGTAATATGAGAAAGGCATTAGTTTTTTAGGGAATTAAAAAAATTATGCCATTTAGTAAGTTATTTAGAAATTTCATGTTTCTTAAATGCATTTATATAACCTGTGCGGTAAATACAGTTGAAATTATTGATGTGCTGTTATTAAAAAAGAAGATTTTACGTGTAAACTTTTATTCTTAATCTTATAGAACTGCTTGTTTTGTTTTTCAAAAACATAATTCACTTTGAAAATGCTTTACTTAGTTCATTTATTAGCTTAATTTTTATAGCCTCCTTCCTCATTCCTGTGCCCAAAAAGAAAAAAATTGAAACTTGGGTGCGGTTCTTTGCTACAAGACTTTATTTTTAATACGAATATATTGATACCACATTTATACTGACCAAAAAAGAAAAGTGTAAGTTTTCATACATTTTGTTTTTACACTGCCATCTACCTCAGGATAAAAATTTACATCTTGAGAAATAAGATATGCCTGATACCTTGAGTTCTTCTATTAAATTTTTAATTATATTATGTCTCTACAATTACTCTACAGCTAATACAAGTTAAAGTTGATTTCCGTAGCACAACTAAATACTTTCTATAATCTTTTTTTGTTTGTTTTGTTTGTTTTGTTTTGGTGGGGGCTAAGGACTGGACTCTAGGACTTCACGCTTGTAAGCAGGGCACTCTGCCGCTTGAGCCCACACCTCCAGTTCGTTTTGCTCTGGTTATTTTAGTGATGGGGTCACTTAACTATTGCCTGGCTGGCCTCACCACCGCAGTCCTCCTGGTTTTCAGCCTCCAAAGTATCTGGGTTACAGGATGAGCCCCTCTGGCCCAATTCAGCTTTATTAAATCTTTGGCAGAAGAGGCTTTTGGATACGCATAGTTAAGGCGTGATCAAGTTTAGGTTGTCTAAAAATTATTACTCCCTTCACCTCTAGAGTGTAGGTGCATTGAAAATATCAAGAGTAATTCAAAATGCTAATACATAAAATAGCAGAAATAATCATAGACTATGTATGAGACCTGAAGATTAAACTGTAAGAGAAATAAAATATGGGAAAAAATTATCAAGCTTATCTGTAATAATAAGTAAAGTTAGCAAAGAATGATGGAGGAAAATGAGTTCTAGCAATACTTTTATTCCCAGTGCAGTAAACTAATCAATATGATAACAGCCTATAAATAGATGCTTTTTTATGAAGAATTTATTTTGATAAAATTATGAATAAAGCAGCAGCCTCTACTAATACTGAAGTAAGTGGATTTTAGAATGGTATTTTGCAATGTATACTCAACAGAATACTATAGGATAATGGACATCAGAGTGAAAAGTGTCCAGAGAAATTCTGGATTAAAAATATTTTCTTAGAGCACAGCTTCTTTAAAATAAAAATATGTGTTATGACTTGAAGAGGCTATATAAATACCTGTTTTTTAAAAGAAAATGAAAGTAAACTCATGTCTTTCTCAAGATTCAGCTTTTTAATAACACTTTAGTGTACATTTAGAACTTTAGTTTTGTCCCTTTGCCTCCCACTGGACACAAAAATGTTAGTTAGACCTAAAATGTGAAATCGTGAAAAGGGATAGAAATTGGAAACATATTCATCATGTCTCTTGAAGAAAAATTCTCCACAAATGGTATTAAAAATGGAAATATTGGCATATTTGTATGAAAGTGTAGAGAAACTAAGGATATGAAAACTAAGAAAATGGAAAGGTTTTGGGAAAAGATTGCTGCAAAAGAGATCAACAAAGTGGCCACATAGAAATTGATTTTAAATGAATGAATGAGAAAATCTTACAAATAGGACTGGGATACAGCTTGAACAGATCACTTGCCTGGCATGTATTACGCCCTGAGTTCAATTTTTAACAAATAAATACGCAATAGACACAGTACACTAGGAACATAACTAGTAAGTAGACATGAAAAAGGTTTTCAGTATTTATAATCAGATATTTCAGTGAGAATTCAAGTAATGACATGTTATAATACAACAGATTGCTTTCCTTCTCCTGATTTGGTGTATTATTTTACATCAGGCTCTTTTTTTTATTCATATGTGCATACAAGCTTGGGTCATTTCTCCCCCCTGCCCCCACCCCCTCCCTTACCACCCATCCGCCCCCTCTCCTCCCCCCCCCTCAATACCCAGCAGAAACTATTTTGCACTTATCTCTAATTTTGTTGAAGAGAGAGTATAAGCAATAGTAGGAAGGAACAAGGGTTTTTGCTAGTTGAGATAAGGATAGCTATACAGGGAGTTGACTCACATTAATTTCCTGTGCATGTGTGTTACCTTCTAGGTTTATTCTTTTTGATCTAAACTTTTCTCTAGTTCCTGGTCCCCTTTTCCTATTGGCCTCAGTTGCTTTTAAGGTATCTGCTTTAGTTTCTCTGCGTTGAGGGCAACAAATGCTAGCTAGTTTTTTAGGTGTCTTACCTATCCTCACTCCCTTGTGTGCTCTCGCTTTTATCATGTGCTCAAAGTCCAATCCCCTTGTTGTGTTTGCCCTTGATCTAATGTCCACATATGAGGGAGAACATGCGATTTTTGGTCTTTTGGGCCAGGCTAACCTCACTCAGAATGATGTTCTCCAATTCCATCCATTTACCAGCGAATGATAACATTTCGTTCTTCTTCATGGCTGCATAGAATTCTATTGTGTATAGATACCACATTTTCTTAATCCATTCGTCAGTGTGGGGCATCTTGGCTGTTTCCATAACTTGGCTATTGTGAATAGTGCCGCAATAAACATGGGTGTGCAGGTGCCTCTGGAGTAACCTGTGTCACAGTCTTTTGGGTATATCCCCAAGAGTGGTATTGCTGGATCAAATGGTAGATCATGTTAGCTTTTTAAGTAGCCTCCAAATTTTTTTCCAGAGTGGTTGTACTAGTTTACATTCCCACCAACAGTGTAAGAGGGTTCCTTTTTCCCCGCATCCTCGCCAACACCTGTTGTTGGTGGTGTTGCTAATGATGGCTATTCTAACAGGGGTGAGGTGGAATCTTAGTATGGTTTTGATTTGCATTTCCTTTATTGCTAGAGATGGTGAGCATTTTTTCATGTGTTTTCTGGCCATTTGAATTTCTTCTTTTGAGAAAGTTCTGTTTGGTTCACTTGCCCATTTCTTTATTGGTTCATTGATTTTGGGAGAATTTAGTTTTTTAAGTTCCCTATATATTCTGGTTATCAGTCCTTTGTCTGATGTGTAGCTGGCAAATATTTTCTCCCACTCTGTGGGTGTTCTCTTCAGTTTAGAGACCATTTCTTTTGATGAGCAGAAGCTTTTTAGTTTTATGAAGTCCCATTTATCTATGCTATCTCTTAGTTGCTGTGCTGCTGGAGTTCCATTGAGAAAGTTCTTACCTATACCTACTAACTCCAGAGTATTTCCTACTCTTTCTGTATCAACTTTAGAGTTTTACATAGGCTCTTTAAGGAAGCCTACATAAGGTAGCCAAGGAAAATCTAAGTTAAGATGTGTGTAAATTAAGCATCACACCCCACCCTGCCAAGCATAATTCTGATTTGGGGATTAGCTGTCTCACATTCTCTCTTTCCCTTCCTAGTTCCCATTCTGTGATGGGGCTCACACAAAACACAACGAAGAGACTGGTGACAACGTGGGACCTCTGATCATCAAGAAAAAAGAAACTTAATGGACAGTCTTGATTCGGCAAACCTGTGTGTCATGATGTTACCTGATTGTTTAATTAGAATGATTGCTGCTTCTGTCAAATTCACCTCCCCTGGGTTCTAGATGTGGTACATTGCAATCCTCAGCTTTCACATTCATGGTATTTGCCTTACTTGTTGAAACATTGTGGTGCACATTTGTTTAAACCAAAAAAAAAAAAAAGAGAGAAAAGAAAAAGGATAAACCAACCTCATGGCCTGTGGGTTATTTTGGTCTTGTAAGGATCCATTTCTTTAAAATAATGATCTTAGTATATAGTTGTATCTTGCAGTTAATGAATTAAATTATTCTCAAAATCATGTATATGCAGATTGTACTTGTAAGTTTGAAAGAAAAAGTACCATCTTTTCATACTACGTAGTTAACCTAGAAAATAAATAGGGTGTGATCAAGCTACACTAATTTCTTAATACATTCTAGGAAAAACCTGTTATAATCTTGATTTTATTCTTGACAGTGGTAATGACACTAAGAAAAGTATGGTTTCTGTGTTTTCAATCCAAATGAACTAAGAACGCCATTCTATTTGGTAAGTCAGTAAAATCAATAATAAAGGGACAGCAGCTTCTTTCGGTTCATCTTCATGGGTATTTACTTTGTCCGTTAAAGAAATCAGTAGTAGAGTTTTAGATCACCGTGATAGTAGAGCTAAAGTAGTCATGAAGAAAGTCTTGAAATGTAGTGTTCCAGAATTCTAGCCCAAAGAGTGGCAAGCACTTAAACTCTGAAGGCCTAGAAGGAAGAGGAGCATACACATTCAAGTCTCTTGATCACACACCCATGACGGAATGGCAGTCACAAGGATACATCAAAGGCATGAGAAGTCCTCTGGATAATTAAGTGCATGACTTATACCAGCAAAGAAACTATTTTAGGTAGAAAAAAATAATTATATCATCACAGCTAGGACATGGCTCAAGTGATGGAGCACTTGCCTAACAAGCACACGGTCCTGAACTCAAACCACAGTACAGCTAAAAAAAAAAAAACCACTAAAGAATTATATCCTCTTTCAGAGCATATGCTCTTTTTCTTAAAAACAAAGATTTAAAGATGAGCATTTTATGTAGTATTCTTTGAAGACTAAACATTGCATTCGTTACTAGTCCAAAGAATTAAGAACATTGAAAATAATTAGAAGCAATAAAAGGATTAAGACAGGAAAGATTAATATATTAGGTTTAGGGATTTTATGGGTTAGAAGGGAAAGTCAAAATTCGTAATTTGGGCAAAGTGCTAACATGAAATTGATAAAACAGGTAAACATTTAGTACACTTAAATTCTCAGTAGTAATCTATGACAAGTTGCATGTGTTAAAATCCAGTTGTCTTGGAAGAATCTAATACCAGACAGCAACATTCCTAAATTATATATGATCACTGATTGTGTGTGTGTTATGGTGCTGGGGTTGGAACCCAGGCCTCGCACATGCTAGGCAAGCACTCAACCATGTTCAGTATTATCTATTAAACAGTGGTTGATACCAAAAGTTTTATACACTAGTTGACTTACTAAGTTTTTTGTTTTTTCTTTTTTTTTTTTGAGACAAGGTGTCCCTATGTAGACTAGGATGGCCTCAAACTCATGATCCTCCTGCTTCAGTTTTCAGAGTTCTGTTATTACAGGTATGTACTTCATATACTACTATATCCATCCGTATACCATTTTGTTTGTTTTGGGGCTTCTGCCACCCCCCACACCCCCTACTCCCCACCCCTCTCCCAGTGTTACTGGGGTTTGATCTCCATGCCTCTAGCCCTTTACTAGGCAGGTGCTTTACCACTTGAACCATGCCTCCAGCCCTTTTTGCCCTGATTATTTTGGAGATAAGGTCACTTTTTGCCCGGGCTGGCTTGGACTGCAGTCCTCTTATTTTAGGTTTCTAATAGCTAGAGTGACAGTCACCACCATGCCCAGCTTTTTTCCTTTGTAATGGGAGTCTTGCAGACGTTTTTTCCTGGGGCTTGCCTGGAACTGCAATCCTCCCATTTCAACATCCCACGTAGTTTGGGATGAGAGGTGCGTGCTATCGGCTGAGGTGGGATCTCACTGACTTTTCCCCAGCTGACCTCAAACCACAGCCACCACATCTCAGCCTGCATACTAGTCTTAAGTAGCCTGGGTTGACTGGCCTGGACCTGTCTATAAGGGATATCTTCCTACAAAATCTAAAATCCTGCCGACCTTATCAGCTTCTTAGGGTAAATTTTTTTCATGCCTACTCCCACTGTTTTAAGTTAGTATGAGTGAGTCAGTAAAAGAGATCGTGCTTTTTAATGTTAATTTTTTTAAAGAAAAATCCATAAACTCCCAAAGTTTCTGATAAAGGGATATACTTTTAACAGAACTGTATTTTAAATTTGAAATGATTAATTTTGTTTTTCTTATACTAGTACCCATTCTCAGAACTGTATTTCAAAGTAATCACCTTACTGTGAAATACAGCTCTTGGGCAGTGTAATAGTCCAAAGTAATTAGGCAAATTAAGTTTCAGCATCATGTTAAAATTTTGCTTTTGAACTAATTTCCTTTATGACATTAAAACATTTTCGTATTACTTAACCAAAAAACTAAAGTGGACATGGCTAGGTTAATGTGAGAATTTTTTTCACAAAAATTACTATTGTATTTAAGTCCCTTAAGTTTCAAATTACCTTTTCATTAGATTGGGCTGCCAGAGAAATGGCGCCCCCATCTTTTTCTCTCTACAGTATTTTTGTTCTAGTGATTTGTGCACTAAGATACGATGTTAGGTCGAAGAGTCTTGTTTGCAGTGTTTAGGGTGACGTTTGCCTATTTGTGCAACAAATATTTATTAGGCATCCATAGACACCATATAGTTGAGAATATTTATGACATAGGTTATATAATGGTAATAACTTGGGATTGTTTTCCTTTATAGATTATAATGACTACCACTATGTAAACCAAGTATTTTTACTACAAAATAGGTGGAATTATTTGATTTTACATTTGTTGTGGAGGTGTTTGTGATAAACATTGACTAAGTTTCCTAATTAGTAACCCAAGTAGTGTTCGGGTGTCTGGAGGGTGTATTACTCTACTATGCTTTCTCTGCCCTTTTTTTTGAGACAAAGTCTCACTGTAATTCAGGCTGGCCTCAAACTCAAGGTCCTCCTGCCTCAGCCTCCCAAGTGCAGGGACCACCACACCCAGTCGTGCCCCCCCCACCCCCAATTTTAACATTAAGTGGCCTCAGAGAGCCACTTGTTTCTCAGCTTTTTAAAATGAAGTGATTGATCTAAATGTCATTTTAGTCACTTGTCTCAGCCAAGATTAGATTTTCAGCTATCCAGGAAAAAAAAAACCATCCAAAAAGAAGGTTGTATTTTTATTGTAAGGTAATCCCAAATTTGGTATTGAAGTTTCCTTTTTTTTTTTTTTTTATTTAGTACAGGGCTTTGAACTCAGGGCTTTGTGCTTGCTAGTCCCTTGTCAAGTAAAACTATTTAAAGGAACTAATAGTACTTTCAACATTTCATTAAAGAAAGGAAGTTGTCAGCCCCATATTGGTCGCTACAATTTTTTTTAATTGCTCCATGAAATCTAAAAGTCTAAGAACCACTAACTCAAGTTCCTTTCTAAAGTTTTGAGATGTGTTTGTTGCCGAGGTATTAGCACAGTTTCATTGATTTTGATACATAGTTTGTATATGTGAAACTTTTCATATCTGATTATTGGCAAATTTCCTTTAGGCTTCCTGGAATATTATTAATTATAAAGAACATAGTTTTTACTTCCTTTCACTTTACCATCATGGTCCCAAATTAAGGGCAATGTCCTGTCAATCCTAATCCCTCTCAACCTGTAACTAAGCCATAACTACATACTGTGGAGATTTGCAAAGGAGGGTGGTAACTGAGCATCTCTCTTTCCTTAGAAAGGGAGAAGAAGTTTTATGGGCTAAGAAATCTGGGCTTTGTGCAGGCCCTAGGTTCAATCTCCAGTACCAGGAAATGTTTCATAAACAAAGGAATTGCATACATAACGTACTGACTGAAGTTGCCAGGAATTGTGCTGAAGAGGAAAGTCTGGGAAGGTTTTTTTGAGGGCTGGGGGTGGGGTGTGTGGCTCAAGTGGTAGAATGCTTGCCTTCCAACAAAGAGCATTTTGGTCATCACTTACAGCAACTTCATTCCTTTCTCTCAACACTATTCCTCTTAGAATCCACAGGGAAGCTGCTTCTAGCACTGAAGCTAAAATAACATTGACATTTCCTTTCTGCTTCAGCCCTGACCCAGGGTGCCACCTAGTGTAGAGTCTCAGAAAATATTAAACTATAAGTCACATTTTGTAATTTAGCATCACCATGTATGTGCATTTAAGTCCCTCATCCCGAAGTACTTCTGTACCTCCCAAAATTTGGACACCTACAGCAGTGTACTTTGTGACTTCCCTGTGCTCTGGCCATCTGTTTTGGGAAATCATTGATGATGTTCCAGAACTCACTATTTTTAAACCTCTGACAAGGAACAACATTTCAAATTTGATAATTATATATTTCAGTAAAATAAAGTAGGTAATAATATATTCTAGATGTTCATCATACTTGTTTTAATTAATAGATTTTACTGCAGCTTAAAGAATACAAACCTAATTGCCAAGAAGTATTTGTCAAACCCCAGTAATTTTTTTCAAATTTGACTCTCTACATCTAATACTCTAAACATTTTTTTCTATTAGGTAAATTTCCTGAATATATATTTTTTCCTTACAAGATTGGCTATATTCTAAGCTACCTAATTTGACCTATGGCTAAACTAGCAATATTTAAAGCAAGCCATGCGCCAGTGGCTCACTCCTATAATCTAACTATTCGGAAGGCAGAGAATCAAGAGGAATGCAATTTGAGACGCCAAACTGTGCAAAATGAGTGCACAGTCCTATATCAGAAACTCCAACACAAAAAAAGGGCTGGCAGATGGCTCAAGTGATAGAGTGCCTGCTTGGCAAGCAGTTCAAAGCCCAGTACCATACCAAAAAAAAAAAAACTATCCAGGCACTGGGTACAGGTGATTCATATCTGTAATCCTAACTCCTTGGGCAGCTGAAATCTGGGGGCCAGGCAAATAGTTTGAGAGATCCCCATCTCCAAAATAGCCAGAACAAAATGGACTGAGGTATGGCTCAAGCAGTAGAGTGCCTACTTTGCAAGTGCAGTTCCACCAAGAAAAAAAAATAATGCCATTTAGGGTTGGGGTATAGCTCAGCAGTAGAGTGCTTGCTTATCCAGCATGTATGAGGCCCTGGGTTTGACCTCCAGCACTTCAAAGCTATCCAGGTCAGCTTATTTTTAAAGGAGTAATGTACATAGTGGTGTCATAATTAGAATATCGATTGGGGTTTTTTCAAATCTAAATGAAAAAAAAAAAAAAAAAAAAACCATGGGTCTTCTCT